CAATAAAACAATATAAACATGATCCAATATCTGCATCATAAAAAAAAAAAAACTTAAATTATGTGAATTTTCATTTTTAGGTAAATTATTTGAGAAAATACATCAACTATATAACCGAAATCAAAACTATTTCTAGCCACTCTACCCTTTGCCCTAATGAGTGATAATGATTTGTTTTGTTCGAAGCTGCCAACTGTGAAGTCCAAACAGCTCCCTGGCAAAGTTGAATGGGCACACAAATGCACCACTATGGGCTTCCCTGCACTGTGCACGTCCGCAGATCCTCTTGCATTTGTTTACCTGACCTGAGTAAACATGCTGGCCATCACGCTGACAACTGACATGCCCTCCTGGCTCATGTCTATCCTCCCTAGCTTGTTAAGAAGACTTTTAGAGTATTAAAATATATCAGGAAAAATGCCTTAAAATGTTTTGTGTTTTGCAAAGTTTCGCTTCCCATTCATGGCACGCGTTGAACTTTTCACCTTGCGTATGAAGTGTGACTTTTATATGATTAACTATGTTCAATTGGATTAAGATTTAGGCTTGTCTGGCTTGGTAGGGGTTACATAAGCCTTAAGATTGTTGTTTGGATGTCTGGGAAAACACCACAGCATGGTCCAATACTGACACCTGCCTGTCAAACAAGGACATTACTACTAGGGCTATACGGAGTTACTTTGTCTGATTGCTATGAGTAAAAGCAATCATACGGAAATGAATGAGGTTCCAGGATAAGATTATTTATTTCTCAATCTGAATTTGTAAATGAAAAAGGGAATTTCAATTTAATTCACTGCAAAAAATAATGTCCCTTAATAAACCTCAGCAGTCCAATGATCTCATGAGGAGGACATTAAAAGATGGAGGACAGTCACTATGAAGGCAATTACTCAACACCCACATTTGGCCTCTACGTGACCCTGAGGAGACATGGTACTGAATGACGAATGAGTTTCAGAGCTGACTCAAAATAAAACAAAAACTGATAAAAATAGTAGTGGTTGATGATAATATTGGGATAGACTACAGCTAAATATCTTGGAAGTGGGTTAAAACAACAAGTTGTTATTCGCTTGACGTAAAGAGGCATTAAGTATTATTTTTTCTTCCTGGATACTTGACAAACATAACAAACTGATAAGATATGTTAATTTCCAAAGCTTAATGGAAATGAAACAGAAACTATTTTGACAGTAGATGGCGTAGCAGACATTGGATCCATAGGCACTACATAGTCTATAAGGCGCCTGGCCCCTCACAAGGTACAGTATGTGCACATTAGGAAGTACACTACAGTTCACTGGGAGACCACTGGGAGGGCAATCATCTCTGAACAGGCCTGTCCCAGCTAAATGCACGGGACATGAGTTCATGTACAGTGAGCAGCTACTGTAGGTGTCTGGTCCGGCTGCGGCTGGTTTTCGGACGTGGTGTTCCCAAAACCAGGTTAGCCGCTGTCACACGCACAGTGGAACTGGCAATTGGCACAATGTGCGTTAGTCAGTGGCTTACCTGCTTTTAGATCACAGCCAGGACAAGCATGGATACAACAATGAAAGCGCACTATCTGTAAAGTAAACAAAAGACTACGTGATTCTTCTGCATCAGTAGTATTAGGCCAAATAAAACATTAACAACACGTGGATGATCAATCCTTCTTATTATAAACAATTGCCACGAGAAATCTTAAAATTCAGATAAATAAATAAAAATACCACAAAAGTGGGCCAATAGTACATTAAACTGAACCAAAACCTAAAAGAATGCCTAAGATTTAAAATGAATCAATTAACAAAAAGTTTCAGAAGCAAATTATTCAGAATGGACCTTGTTGTGTCATCTACAGGTCAAGTGAATGTATTAACGCGATACAGACGGAATAAATAAATTGGAGCAGATAAAGAGAGCTACTTACCATGGTCAAGTTTGTCTTCTGGAAGGATTTAAAAGCACAACTTTCCACTTCTGAAGATGGAGGCAAGTACACAGTTCGGCAGAGGCCTGTTCTATCTTTTTCCTTCAAAGAAACCACAGTGCGCGGATAAAGTTTGCTGCATTTAAAGAATATTGGATGGCTACACCGACGCAGAAGTTCAGTTCACTTGCACTACCCCTACCCTGCCCACTCCCCTGCATCTGCAACCCGTCCTGGTTATGCAAATGAGACGGTAACGGGCACCTCCACGAACCAATCAGCGCTCGTATCAGGAAGGGCACTGGCAAATAAGACGTGAATGTGGGCAGGACTAATATAACCATTGCGTTTGATTTATTCCTGGAGTTATAGTTGGGGTGCGGTGCGTTCAGTTTCGCACGTCGTACATTAGGAACAAACCATTATCTTTTTAACAGTTTCCTGCCCAGACCAGCGCATATGTGGGTCATATGAGAGCGACGCAGTGTTATAGAAAGATCCAGGCTTCGTTATGGGTCGCGGGTGTGATAACATGCGCGTCAGTGGTCATTTGGAGTGGATTGCGGGCAGACTTGGCTTTCTACCCCTACAATTGGAAGTGGTTGCACTCGGCTTACTTGTGTACAGTGTTGCCATGAGCGGAGTGTAGATGTGCACGTACCAAGGATGCAGCATGACGGAGTGATGTGACGATGACGAGACGGAGGGAAAACGGCGATAACACTCAATTATTAACCGCGTGAAAAAGAATAAGCGCGCAGCAGCGTGGACACAATGTAGCCCATCGCGACTTTTTATTCAGATTGTAGTGGCGCAACTAAAATAACCCACTTAGATTGTGTGAAATTGTGTAGTCGACTTCCTTGGCTTAAATAGTTCTATAGATAGCCTGTATCCTTGGCAAACTATTAAAAACCCAATTATCAAGCAAAACATTATGACTCCTGGACGTGCTGTGAGGTCAGGTCAATTGGGCCATAGGTTAATTGAACCACTCATAAGGTTAAAGGGGCTCACCTGCCTTTTCAAACCATTTAAATAAATCACAATGTAAAACATTTGTAAACGGTTGACCTCATTAAAATAAATAAGGTCATGTCTTTATAGCCTATTTTTACATATGCCATATTTTTATTGTGAAATTGTTTCTCTTACAAGGCATCCTTGTAAGAGAAACATGTTTTAGGCTATTTTAGTTAGACCTACAAAAATATTTAGGTCTACCACTTTCCAAACCTGAATTTACACCCCAGCCTATTTTGCCTGAAGTACAAACCCTATGATGTAACTTAAATAAATAAATACATATTTTATGTTAAAAGTTACATGATTTTTAATTGTATCCAGTGTTTCCTGACTTTTCTATAACAACATGAGTTATGACTCAGGGAAAACGCTTGCCTAACATATCTGGTCAAACAGCAAACGTTGTATTTTATTCTCATGTCACGTCACATGTGGCAAAAATATTTGGCCTACTTGGTCACCCTTTGGTAATGACACATGACATGAGCACACGCCCTTAACAGGAAAACACTTTAGGCTATATTTCATACTAAAAGCAGCCTACAGACTTGGAATGCACACCGCATGTCACACTTTTGAACCAAATTAATATGACACTTCCCTGTAGTTAAAAAAAGTTTCAGTGCTGAAAATGTTTAATAGCCTTTAGGGATAGATAATCCTGATGTTTCCTGTGCATAATACATTTGCTGTGTAGGCTTTAGAAAAACAACAAAACAAAAAAACAAAAAAAAAAACCTCAATGGCAATTGGAATTGAATTTGAAATACATACATTTCATTGATGGATATTTAGTAAGCATCAGATCCTCCTTTTATACAGCTGCTTTTAAAGTATTCAGTATTGTGGTTCCTCCTATTGATCCAAAGCTCACAACTAATTTGGCCTTAATTCAGAAGAATAAGGCCTGATGCTTTTCCTCTAGATTTACATAAATGTAAAACGTAGCCTAAAGTAAAAGGCTACGTAGTCTAATAATGTAGCCAGGCCTATGGGCTCAGTACTGATCTACTTAAACCAATAAATGCCTAAGTTAAGTACTTACAAACTAAATTTTATTTTATGTGTGCTGTGTAGGCCTAAACAACCTTTGCCTCCACCCCCTGCTGTGCCTCTGACGCCCAGGAGCCCTGGACCCCATTGGGAACCACTGCTACACATGTGGGTCATTTATCCAATGTCACATAAACTGGGCCACAAAACTTGAATGAAAAAGTCTTGCTATGTGGTGAACTCAATATTTAATAATTACGGGGAATTAGTGAATAATTAAGGGCAAAACTGAAGTAAGTTTACAGTAAAGTTTACATTGAAGACATTTTTATGTTTCTAAAATTACCTGACTCAATCCAATTCACCTATGCCACCTGTGTGTCGTAGTAAACAGCAAGTGAACAGGTCATCCTCAATGTATGTGTATGTGTGCCACTTATTTGAATAATTTAATTTGACCATACTTGGGCTACTGTGCTGACCTTTATCTTAAAATGTATTTATTTTTAAATCTTTTTAGTTTGCCTATTTGAATCACTGTGGTGATTGGCTGCGTCTCAATTCTCTTTCTTTGCTTCCTTCTCCCTTGATTCCTCTCCTCGAGCCTCCATTTTTCATCTGTCAATCAAATGTGTCAAATAAAGCAGTGTTCTAAAGAAAACCAGGGCATGAGAGAGGCTTTAGGAGGCAGACATCAGATAAAATAATGAAACTTTATTGGTCTCAGTGAGGAGTTATCCTTTTTCCTCCCGGTGTCTCCTCTGTGGGTGGGACATCCTCACCTATTTCCTGTAGAATCGAAGAGAGGAATCAAGGAGAAGGAAGCAACGAAAGAGAAATGAGACACGGCCAATCACCACAGTTGTGAAGCCAATGTGGACATAGGCCTAGATTGGTAAAAGTAAGTAAATAAAAAAATAAAGAGAAAATTTGTCCTGTTTATTACTTTGTAGCCCTGAATAAAGCATAAATGTTACAGAAACCTGTTCAAACTTGCATTACAGTTGTCCTCTAAACCTAAAGATGAATGAATGAAGTGGAGTTTGTGGGACGCTGTTTCTTTAAGAGAAAATAGTGGGCCATTTGTGCCTCTACCATCAGCAGCCGGTGGTGTCACTCAACTAGTGTGAAGATCAACCACAGTGTATCATTCAATCCCCGCTTTTACCACACTACTGCCTAGGGTAGGTTGTGTCAAGCTCTAAATATATCGATGTAGAACTAGTATTCTCTGGTTAAAGTAGGACGTTTCTAGAAAATACCATACGGCCTGTCTACAAGTCACATTGGGTCTGTGTTTCCTGTGGCTATATTTAGCTAACACGCCAATGCTAATATTGCTAGTGCTTTTTGTTCAGCCTGCTAAGTCATTTCACAAACTTTGCTTCTATAAAATGACATTTTGTGTATATTTCAACGTATGCGGATCACAGTAAACTGTGAACACGTGCAGTCGGCGCTGTCTGTGGCTGTTTGGCTGCTTTGTTTACACATGTAGCGTTAGCCTAGTGCAGACGACTGCTACATGCTAGCCCCCTGTTTTGCAAATGCACTGTTCTACAAGCTTTTTCAAAACGTGGGATTTATTTACGTCCTTTATAGTTCCTGCCTAGTCTTTTATAGTATGTTTACTTGTTACGTCTGATGTTTTTGGTGAGTGGCATCAAACGTGACCCGACATTGAGTTTTTTACAAGCTTGCCGCACTTCCACAGATTTATTATAGACATATTTTTCTGATGGTCAGCCATGGATGAAGATGACAGCCAAGACGAGCTGATTAACCGTTCTTCCAAAAGCAAAGGGAAAAGAGCTGCAACATGGGCCATCTCAGGTACGTGCATGTCTCCTTTTTACTCACCACACTGTTACACTGACACTATGCTAAAAAATTTAATACTTAACTTTTGTTATTGTGCACTAAATGTTATAATTTATGAAGCGCTCTTCATTTTGTGTGCCAAAATGTGCAGGCAATAGATACTGGTGATTCACTTACAGTGTGTTTGTAAAACAAAGTAAAGCTTATGTTCTTTCTTGGTCTAATGTATTAGATGATTCTGATGAAGCTGGGTCTGATGAGGAGGTGGAGTCACAGAGTGGGGAAGAGGATGACACCTTAGATGAGGAAGATGAGGAAGACGAGGATGAAGGTGATATGTTTAATAACTGCAGTTTGCTGGCAGACAGTTCATGTTACATAATGTTTCATACATGACATTATATATAAATAATTAGATGAAGAGGATGAAGAGGATGGAGTTGAGCCTAAGGAGGAAGGATGCGCGGGGACCTCGGCCAACGCAGAAGTGAGCTCAGATGAGGAGGCTGAGAAATGTCCCATATGCCTCCATTCGTTTAACAGGCAACCTGTGGCCACACCGGAGAACTGTGAACACTACTTCTGCCTTGACTGCATCCTTGAATGGTCAAAGGTGAGCTTACATATTTAGTTAAATCTTCAGTCTCAAATAATGAATGAAAGCTTAATAATTGTATTACTGTGTATGTGTTTCAGAATGCAAACTCCTGTCCAATAGACCGGACTAACTTCAAAGTTATATATCTAAGAACATGCTTTGGAGGCAAGGTTCAGAAAGCGGTATGTTTCCTTGTACACTGAGACATAATATCAGTATCTTTACGGTGTGCAGACTTTTCTTATTTTGTGTTTAAATGCAGATCACTGTACAAAAGCCTGCAAAACAGTGTGAGCAGGAAACTGTAGATGTGGACCTTGAGGAGACGAGCTGTGAAGTGTGTGGAGGAAGTGACCGGGAAGACCGCCTTTTGCTCTGTGATGGCTGTGATGCAGGGTAATATCTGCTTTAGAAGTCACCATAACCTTTGATTTATGCATGCTCCTTCAGTTAAAATGTGCAATACAAAGGGTGTGTGTACATAGATTGGTTAGGAAAGAGGATGAGAATGGTTTGCATTAATGGTGCATTGTGTCACGTTTCTGGTGGAGGACTTGTTAAATACTTTCTTCATGGAAATATTATTGCTTTGTCTGAAATGTTTCACAGTATGGCATTAAATCTATCTGTCCTCATGGAGACCAAACCAGACCAAGTTACAGGTCAGATTTGCGCAGAGCCAACCCTGCTCACAGTCAGGATGCCTGTTTTTCTTGATATTTTTGAGCAGTAAAACCGCCATTAATTTAATACATGTAAGCATGTGGAGTTGTTTAACGTCACATTGTGGAACATTCCAGGCAGAGCAATGACTTATCCATAGAAACAAGACGGTGATGGACCTCCAACCAAAAAGTTACTTAGTATACTTTTAGTTGATGTTGCTCTGTCGAAAAATAAATTAAAGAAATCAACCTAACTATGTGCAATGCATTTATAGATATCACATGGAATGCCTTACACCACCACTTGATGCTGTTCCAGTTGAAGAATGGTTTTGCCCAGAATGTGAAGCCAACAGCCGCCATTCAAGTTAGTCGTAAACATTTCTATTCTAAGTGCTGAGTTTATACTGTATTTTTAGTTTTACAATGCATTATACATCTTCTTGATTCAGGAGCTTCAGCTACCGAAACAAGTGACACAGACAGCCTTCCATCTACTGCACGCCACGCCTCTAGCCGCCCTCGCTCCCATATGGGCGGGACCCGTGCTATTGCCCGCACCCAGCACAGTGAGAGGGTCCGGGCCAATGTCAATCGCCATCGGATCACGCAGGCACGCACTCAGGAGGTTTGGCATGAAGCGTGATGCTTCTGTTTTGGCTTTCTAACATATTCAGACTGTGCGCATGGCTGTGTGTGAAAATTGCTGGGTTTGTGAATTTACCTTTTGAGTGTTTCATAGCGAATGTAATCACTTCTTGGGTCTAGTCAGTAATCGAAATAACCAGGTTTGACATTTGTGACTTACCTTTTTAAATATTTCATGGCAAAGTTCAATTTAATAAGTAGTGAAAATTTTCTCTTGCCCCCATTTGAGAGTTTGACATAATTGCATCGAGAATCTGAAAACCACCAATAAATAAAATCTATGTTGTTGTTGTTGTTGTTTTTGCTAACTTACAACCCAAAACAAAGCATGCAGGTTTATTAACGAAAATTGTGCTGGATGTATTATACTCTGAATTAACCAAGGTTGGTTTTTCCTGTAGTTGGCTCCTACCTATCTGATCCGATCTACTTGGCTGGATGAAACCATAAATGCTGTGGTGGCAGGTCTAAACACTGCAGTGTATGTACGGGATTTAACCTCACGACCTTCATCAACCCGTCGCCGTACGTAAAGACTAAATTTATTAAAATAAAATAGATTAAATGTTATGTATTAGAATTTTTCTGTATGCTTAGGTAAGACCAGGAAAGTACATGGCAGAAAAACCTCCTCAAAAAGTAAAAAGGGCAAATCAGCCAGTACAGGAGGCAAGAGGCGAAAAAGGAGAGTGAGAAGGACAAAATCCAGGAAGAAGCTGGTGCGTGTATACACATCAGCAGCATCAACTGTGACTACTATATTCTATTTCTTTTTTTTCCTTTTTAATAAGGTGATGAAAAAGACACCCACCATTCGGAGTCGTATTGCTAACAATCTTGGCATTGTGAAGGACAAGAAGAGCTCATCCCTTCCAACTGTCTACAGACCATCTGAGAGCACTCTGAGCAGCATGAGGGCAGACATTGGTGCAGCATCACTGTCAATTTATGGAGATCCATTTGACCTCGACCCTTTTACTGACCGGTATGACCTTAATTTTGTACTGTACTTTTCTGAATCAACGTTTGACTGACACAATCCTAATTCTAACACAAGTTTATTTAACTATTAATCATCAATGTTTTAATGGAAAATGTACTGTAAGAGTAATTCTTCAAACTCCATGTGATATGTTAGTGAGGATGAGGAAGAGCAGACCCACGACTCTGCTCTGTTTGAAGCCAAGAGACGAGGGATCTCACGCTCTGCTTTCCGTTCTCATCAGCCAGTGGCAAGACCAGTTAGTCTCTCCAGGTAACATACATATTGATACTTTGGACTGACATCACGCTGTACTGGGGGTGTTCTACATGTACCTCTAACAGTGGAATGTTGTTACCATAGGGACACAATGCAAACACTGTCAAAAACATTTTAAGATTGTCTGAAAACCCAAGAAAAACACAGCTCATTTAAACAGCACGTTTTCAGGAGCCATTAATCAATACAAAGTGTTCATGGTTATGTTTAAGTGTTTGATAATAATACATGTTATTTGAGAGAGACTGTTTTAACAGCACAAATCTGCTCAGCTGTTGTACTTCCAGATAAATCACTTCTTTTGGTCAGATTGTTAAAATTAAGATCAGATTAAAGTCTAACAAGCCTCAGCAAGAGCAGTGCCTACAGTTAGCATCAAACCCAGAGGAACTATCATATCACATATTGTGAACTAGAATACTCTTTTAACCTTTTGTTGTATTAACTGTTTTACCAGGAGGCCAGTGAGCATCCCACAGGCTAGTAGTGTTGTTGAAGCAGCTCCTGTACCTGATCTGTTGGGCAGCATACTCTCTGGACAGAGCATGCTTTTAATGGACAGCTCTGATGTGGTCATTAATCGTGATGGTTCTCTTAAAACTTCAAAACCAAGTAAGTGCATAAACTCAGCCTGAAGCAGACTTAAGTTTGTAATATCCATCATAGGACTTGATAATAATGAAGGCTTTGTTTCCTATTCAGTTAGTGTGACGAACCCCATGAGGCCCGGCAGCAGCAGAAGCAGTAGCGCTGGAGATAGTGGCTCACAGACCACAGATGTGGACAGGCTGGGATCTTCTGAAAGCCCCATGAACACGCATTTCTCTCAGAACTCTTCTCCTTTATCTTCACCTCTAGGCTCTTCACTAAACCTTAGTGAAATGTCTTACACCCATGTTCCACCCAGAAGTAATGCTTTTTCACATGAGCTGAATAGGCCCAATCAGAGGTTGGGCCATCCGGTAACAAATGGAATGAGAGAATGCAGAGACAATAGTTCCTCAGAAAGCAAAGCTGTCTCCCAGTCTCATTCGCTTAAGGCACCTACAAAACCTATGTGGGTGGATGTGTCTGTGCTCCCCAGAATACCAAAAATCAAAAGAGAAAGCAATGTTAATACTTCTATGAAAAATGAAAGTAATACAAGTAGAAGTTCAAACGGTAGCAGCTATGGCATGCCTGAGACGGGCATAAGCAGACTGGCTGGGGACAAAGAGCGGCATCATTCTGTGGATCAGCAGCATGGCAGAACAGATGGTCCGAGGAGCAGACCTGATGGAGCAGGTTCTTCCTCAGGCTTCTCCAGCTCCTTTTCCTCCTCCTCTTCCTCACCTGCCCCACACACCAACCATCAGAGATTCTCTTCGGGAGGTTCATCGTCATCATCCTCCTCTGTAAGTTTCCGCATTAGCTCCAGTGGCAATTCGTGGCATTCTAGACGATTAAATATTGCATCACTAACTCCAAGTGGATCTAGCCTACAAGAACATTGTTCAAAAAAAGAGGAAGAAGAAAGAAAAAGACAATTACGCCGAGATAAGCAGAAGCTGCTTGCATCACACTCCAAAGACAGTAATAATATTTATGATCCGTTTAATCCTACTGAATCAGATTCAGGCAGCTCGGATGGGGAAAGTGAGGGCATCAGTATAGAGTGTAGCTCTCGACTTAAACAAGAGCCTGCCGATTTAAAAAAGAAAGTTGTTTCACGAAGTAGGTGGGACCTAAAACAAGGAAAAGACGAAACACAACGTCCACATTCACAAAATAAACCAGCTACCACAGCTGCTCAGGAACCATGCACAGAGCAACTTAAGGGCACTAAAGACAATATCACATTTAAAAAAGGCTCCATATTCTCTCATATTGAGATGCCGACTCCATCTAACACTACTATAAAGAAAGAGCCAGAGTCTGATACAGATGAAGCAGTAAAGCGTATCTTTGAATCAGAAACTGAGGACGAAGCTCAACCAGTGGAACAAAGATTGAATATTATAAAAATTGAGGAGACTGTTACAGAAGGTTCAGCCCCTGAACCACCTGCTGCTCTTTGTGATGACAGAGCCTCAGCTACATCAAACTCCAGTCCTGTTAAAAAGTCAGAAAAGACTGAAATTAAGTATGATTCACACAACAAGAACCAATCAAAAGAATCTGTCAGTGACAAGAGCACCTCCAAGAAAAAAGAACCCTCTAAAGATCAACGGGCACGTTCCAGCAGCACAGAACGAACAAAGAAACACAGTAGCCCTGAACAAGACCGGAGACATGTCCGCATGGAGGCAAAACATGAAGGAGGTGAAAAGGAAAAGGACAAAGACAAAGCAAAGTCCTCCAGACGCTCTCGGTCAAAGGAGAGAAGAAGAACACGCAGAGTCTCTGAAAGCTCCTCCTCCAGATCCCCGGACAAGGCATCCAAAAAGAGAAGACGCTCACGCTCACGATCACGCTCCCAAGACAAGAGGAGGTCCAGGTAAGACTTGGAAAGAGCAATGGGTTTAGATCTGAACTGTTGGCAAATTTATTTTGTTGAAACTGTATTATTGACCAATGTTGCATAAATATAATGTTATATTACCGTAATTCTTCACCATTTTATACAATATACGTGTTATTAGATTATTAAAGTTAGCATTTCTTTCACACCTTACATTCAGGCAGTAAAACTAAAAGCACATTTTTTGGGGAACATTTACTAACATTTACTTTTTCTTCTCTAGGTCATGTTCGACCTCTAGCAGCCGGGAACGATCAAGGACAAAGAAACATAAAAGGCGAAGCAAAGAACGAGATGAGGATAAAGATGTGAAAAGACGCTCTTCAAAAGATAAGAGGCGTGACCGATCTCGTTCCAAGTCTCGCTCCAGATCTCACTCTAGATCCAGGTCAAGATCACGAGAGAGGAGACATGCTCGCTCCAAGTCCCGGTCTAGAAGCCGATCGCGATCCAGAGACAGGAGGAAGAATGAGTCTCGCCATCAGTCATCCAGAGACAAGGTGGAGTCCCGTTCAAAAGATAAGAAAAGGTACAGATCTCGGTCCACTTCTAGAGAGAGAAAAAAGACAAGAGAAGACCCGTCTACAGTCAAGAAACCAAAAAATGCTGATACCAATAGATCATCTGATAAGGACAAAAAGCCCGTAAAAGACAAGAGAAAAGATGACACTCTCACAGTCAAATCTGAGAAATCTGAAAGATTAGCAAAATCAGAAAAATCTGCCAAATCAGAAAAAGATGATAAAGCAGATAAGGCAGATAAAACAGATAAAGTGGATAAAGCAGATAAGGCAGATAAGGCAAATAAGGCAGATAAATCATATAAATCAGATAAATCAGATAGAACTGAGAAAGCCGAAAAAGCTGGAAAATCTGAAAAAGTGTCTAAAATGAATAAACCAAGCTCTTCTTCCTCTAGTTCTTGTCTTGGGGTTAAGAAAGAACCAACAGAGACAAAAGTAGAAGAGAATCCCTGTGATGCTGTTGACAAAAAGGATAAAATCAAAAAAGAAATCAAAAAGGAAAAATGTGCAGTGTTTGATATGTTTGAAGGTAGTCCAACCAGTAACATTATTAAGCAGGAGCCTGTTGACACCCCTGTTGTAGTTGGTGAGGATAAAGAAAAGGAAGATATGCACAATATTAAGACTGAAGAATGCCAGTTGGATAAACCAGAGGCAAAATCCCCTGAGGAGAAGCTCATTGTTGCAGAATGCAGCATTGACGATGATGTAAGTGCTACTGCTGTGTCCACCCCGCCACAGGACCCACCAAATGAAAGTATAGAGGGCCCAACCATTTCTGTAAAGCAAGAAACAGTTCATCCATCCTCTGACTCTGATGATGACTTTAATGTGGATGTAATGTTAGACAATCTGGACCTGGTCAAATCCAAGTGTGATGAGTCAACAGAAGCTACTGTCAAACAGGAAAAAGATGAGAAGAGTGACGGAGAGCCAGCTGCTGCAGTGGGCAAAACTAAACCGCAAGTGAAAAGAGTCACATGGAACATCGAGGAGCCTGTGGGGCCTCAGCCTGACAAGTCAGCAAGCAGTAAGTTCACAATTTGGAGGCTTTGAAAAACTACACATTTATTATGCATCACAAATAGTTGACTGTAACACAAAAGGGTTAAAATGGGTCCAGACATGTATAAATTATATTTCTATAGACAGTTAATTTTATAACCTTTTGTTTACCTGAAACAGAAAACAATAATTGACACAAGGGAATGCTACATAGGACTATAGTAAATATTATAACATCAGTGATTAACAACCAGACGCTAACTGAGTCTACTGATCACATTAAATTAAATGACAATTTTACTTGATGCCATTTGCAAGATTTGCTAAATTTAGTATTATATGATCCAATGATTTTACTGGAAAAAATACAATTTATATGTATTAAATTAAGGTACATCTATTACTCTTTGTCCTCCTTTGTTTTCTGTCTTCAGAGGTGGCTCTTTACAAGTTAAAACTTAAGCAGGAAGGAATTCGCAGGCCTTCAGCATCCGCATCCTCTCAGGTAAACGCTTCAAATACCATATTTGGCCAGAAGATGGCAGTGTTTGTTCAGAGAAACCTACTCAAAACAATGTCATGTGGGGGAATATGAAACTTATACTGGAGTCATTTCTGAGTAAACGAAATCTAAACTCATGTAGTACCAGTGCCAAATTATTATATAAACTGTTTGGCCCTAAATACCTCTGTACTTGCCATACTGGTGAATAAGACATGCTCAAAGAGAATCATCAGCATTTTAGTTACGCCGCATTTATAATATATGTATTATATTGACTTTCTACACAGAGCCTTCACCCCATTTCTTTGACAGGACCTAACCGGAACTACTAATGCTGGTGATGTAACGAAGATTACAGACCCAGAGAGGTCTTCAGGGTCTGACAGTTCACAGGGACAGTCTGCCTCAGCACAGGGGCAGGGAGAAGATGGGGATATACTCAAGAAAGACAAGGTGAAAGAGATTCAAACACAACAGCTGATTTTAATAGTGCAGTAAATTATCTATTGTTTTTAACACTTAATTTCCAACACTAGACCTACTTAAAGAAGCTTCACATGCAAGAGAGAGCTATCGAGGAGGTAAAGCTGGCCATTAAGCCTTTTTACCAGAAAAGAGACATCAACAAGGACGAATACAAAGAGATTCTACGTAAAGCTGTGCAGAAGGTAAGTTATTTCTTTCACAAAATCAGATTAAAAGTGTTTTGGATGGCATCCCCAATGATTTGTGTGTTTATCAATTTATGTCGATCAGGTATGCCACAGTAAGAGTGGAGAGATCAATCCGGTGAAGGTGGGCAATCTAGTCAAGGCTTATGTGGACAAATACAAACATGCTAGAAAATACAAGAAAGGAGATGAACCAGGTAAAACACAGGAACTTTTCAGAACCACTGACAGCCCATAATATAGACGAAGAAACGCTATCCATTTGGCAATATTGGACAGGTCTCATTGGATTATTTGGGAACATACTTTGAACAAACAAAGCGTCTTTAGTGATTTGACGCTGGGATTGTTGCTGTCAGGAGTTGGAGCTGTGCAGCTAAAAGTGTCTTAAAGAGGCACTTTTAATGATTCAATTCATTATGTTATGAAAGTGGGCATTGCAGGCTCTGATGTTCTATGTTGTTTTGTGGGAAGGGGGGGTATTTATCAGAGGAAAAGTTTGTTTAGAAAATAAAACCTGTTCTAAATGTCAATAATAAGAGGAAACATTAAGGAAATAAAGTGATATGCAACTTTTGTAAAAAATGGATCATCATCAGGAATACAGTTTTAGACTTGTTTGTAAATGCTACAGATTTGATTAATTCTGTCCCATTGTCGTTTAACTACAGCAAATGACAGTAAATACTACTAGGTTTGATTAACTCGTAGCTACATTTTCTTTTGCTTGCTTGTCTTCCACATTTGCCAAACACCTGGCTACTGGGAGAAGGCTAGCTCCTCCCTTTCTTCATAAAAGACTTGACACCCACCATCACATTCTTTCTAGGAGTGGCTTTTTTGTACATGTTTGTCACAATAGATATTTTTTTCTTTTTGCCATACAATTAAAAGCCTCAATGAAATCTTCACAAAATGAGTGATATCTAAATTTTATAAACAACAATAACGGCTGCTTTTCAAATTGTGTGTCTGAGATTCAGCGTATTTTTATTTGATATAAATTCAATTGTGGTTTATAAGGAATCACTTGTCCTTGTATGACCCTAATATGCATTAACTTTGCATTTGGCTGAACCACTTACTTTCTATCCCAGGGTGCAAATAATTGGTCACAGGAGCTTAAATGTGTCCTGCAGCTTCAGTGTTAAGCTTATTTGAAGTCTGAATATGTTTTAGTTACATAAAGTGGTGACTGATTTTAATATGTGTATGCCATGAAAGATTGTGATAAAATTACTCATTCCTACATTTGGGATCATTTCATATCAAACAAGCAGACAAGTCTCCTGGTCTCATGTACCTTTCACAGCCTTTGTTTCCTGACATAACTGTGGATCTTTTGTTTGTTTACTATTTGTAAATATTGTGTCATAAAGGCCAGGTGAGTGATAAGCACTTGATTTATGCATTGTAAAGTTTTACTGGAGCAAATGCAAAACATTAGTTTAAATGATCTATAAAAAACGCTCATGTTAGTCAGAATGTATTTACTTTTTTCAATTTGTTTTTGTTGTGTTTTGTAGAAGTGTTAACAATAAAAACAACTACATAGAAATAGGCATTGGCTAACTTGCATAACATTCACCGTAACACTTACAATCAAGTATCCGAGTCCAGTGCATGTTACACAATTTATGCAAACAGCTTTTCCTTCTCTAACCAAATATTTTAACACTAAAAAGAACAAAGTGACATGAACGAATTTCACTTGTTTATTTAGCAGCCAAGAGACATGAAAAAAACACATGAAAAACAAGTAACTATTAAAGACACATTTGGATCTATTGTTCAAGTTGGCTAAATATATTTGTGGGCGGCAGTAGCTCAGTTGGTAGAGCATTCGCCCACTGATCTGAAGGTTGGCGGTTTGAATCCAGCTCTCGACATAAACATCACAGGTTGAGCGGTCAGATCCACTGACCCACAGGTTGGCTGGTGTGATTCCAGCTCCCACAGATGAATGCTGCCGTTGTGTCCTTGGGCAAGACACTTAACCCACCTTGCCCACAGTGTCTGCGTACACTGGTGTATGAATGTGTGTGTGAATGGGTGAGTGGTTTGTTGTAAAGCGCTTTGAGTGCCTTGAAGGTGGAAAAGCGCTATAGAAAAATGTGACCATTTACCATTTGTTATAGCAGTCCCCATACGGGAGCTGCTTCTTCAAAGAGACATGAAAAACACACATGAAAAATATAACTATTACAGATTTAATTTGTACATTTGATCTACTGTTCAAGTTGGCTAAAACTTATGTTTGGTATAGCAGCACCCATACGGGAGCAGCATCTTTGTTTTATGGGGGCGGCACCCAACATTAAGGTGCATTTTTACCACCTACTCGGCTGGAGTGTGGGCCAGAGTATTACAGAATATTCTAGACTTTAGGGAAGCCAATTTTTTTTTTTTTTTATAACAATCTCCTTTTCCCTTAAAAATTTAAACAACAAATTAAAACTCTCCTGTAAACCAATTAGTATATTACACAAATTAAACATATCCCCTTTCTTTTCTTGAAGTTTTTGCCTAAAAGTCCATCTCTTATCATCATAACTGTTACATGTTAAAATAACATGCTCTACTGTTTCTAGCCCTAGTCCACACTCACTCCCAGAGGGATGTTTAGCTTCTAAAAACAAAGTTCGGGAGCAGCCAAAGAAAGAGTCTCTTCTCATGCATCATTTTGAAAAGCCATCATACGTATAGTGAAGTCAGTTTTTATATACATTGTAGTGCAAAAAGGTCTAAAGAGAGTGGTTGTCAAAGGCACTCTTAAGTGCTAAAGTTATGTATGGAGTACGAGCTAATATTGTAATTGTGCAGTCATAACTGCCGGCTACTCTGCAGTGGGTGGGCTGAAGTATGTGCTGATGAAGTCCATCAGACTGTTGTATGAAGTCTGCAGGCTGATGTTAGAACTGTGAAGAGACGATGCTCCTTCCATTTGAGCCTGCTCATGTAAATACCTGCAGATCACTGGGACCACCTATGACACAGGAGCATGGATAATATAGAAAGACAGGCAAATTTAAATGTATTAAGGTGCACTAGGTTATTTGCTCCCTACCACAAGTTACTTAACTCTATAGAGATGTTATTGCATTGACTTTCCACAGTATAGTTTTAAACTTTATGATTTTGCACTTATTCAGTTACAGGTGTTTATACTGTTAAGATGGTACCTCAAAAAACATGAATTGTTACATTAAGCAGCCTTGCCTCTTGACATATCTGACATGTAACTGGGCTTGCTGGTGTCACCTGCTTGTCTCCAACATATCTACATGGATACGTTTAATACCATACTGTGGAACATCTCTATGCAGATAAGCAGGTGGTGGACCCTTAAGATAAACTGCATAGAACCCCGTTTAAAGAAAACTATAGTACCTTTACAACAATAAGTTTCCTCTCCAGAGCTCTGCCATCTGGAAATTTTTCACCAAAACACATGGTGATGGTGTATTCCGGTGAGCGTCCATTGTTTTCCCTGAAGGTTTTCAGTTCTAAGGAATGCAAAAAGTGGAATTAATTTACACTTCAATGGTAACCGATATGTTAGCGATCAAATGATAAGCTCTGCTGATAATTTGGGGCTGATTTGGATTATTTTCCCAAAATTTTATAATTTAAATGAACTACAAACTCCCCCCAAACCACAAAGTTATACAGAAACCTTTAACCTACAAACCTAATTGAGCTATGTAATCACGTTTTGTACAACTATCTCTTCATATTATAGTGTCAGTATAAACCTTTATGTGTATTTTCTAGGCATCAGATTGACAAAACTAAATATCTGCCTGTGCTGGAGATTTAAGGCTGATAGCAGATATGCTAAAAAGTCAAAATATTGGTCCAATATATTGGCCAAATGATAAATTGGTCTATCTCTACTACATATGCACATTTGGTTTCTTATTACCATTCATATAAGTATTAAAGCTCAGTAGCTGCACCATGGAGTTCAGGGGTAGTTTCTCTGGATTTGGGTGAGCCACAGTCGGATCACTGGTGCTCGCAAATACATGGCACCTGTCCTGTCTGTAGGCGTAGATACCGTCCTCCTGCACCTGCAGCATTAGACCTCTCTGAATGCTGTTCAGGATGCGATTGGTGTAGTCAATCTAAACGACACAGATTCAGAATTATTTGAATACCGTATAATGACACTAGGGATGTCACAATATTACATTTAGGGTTAAGTTTAAAATAAAAAAAAATTATCAGTTAATGGTTTTTCATGATTATTGACACAATGACAAAAAAAACAGTGAAAGCCATTCCTCCAGTATGTGGCCAGCTTATTGAAATCAAACTTTCTGAATGATTAAAGAATAATATAACCGCCCTTTACATTTAGCTTAACTGGACTGGACTAAAATCATCATTTCTAATAATTATTTGTTCATATCATTATATCGTGGCCTGTATAATCAGAGTTATCAATTTACTGATTTAAATTGACCTATGTAATGATATCAATATGCAGGGGTGTAGCACTAAATTCTGGGCCCTAGGTACAAATCAGCTTGGTAGGCCCACACTACATCTGTCGAATGGGTAATTAGACCCTTTACCACCCATTCCGACACCCTTGTAAACACAATTAGATGACATAGATTGAGTTTGTGTACCTGTTTGTGGTCTATGAGGGTGTCTGTAGTTGGGAAGCAGACTGAATAGAAATTGGGATCCTGAGTCTCCAGTGGGTAATGCAGTTGCACATGTGGACAAGTCACTGTGGTCTTTTGCATTTCTTTTCCCCTGTATAAAATCGAGATCTCAAGGTCGTTTATTGAAGGGAGCTGTTGTGGATGAGCAGGGGTTGCTGAAAAAAAAACAAAAAAAAAACACAGTGATTTATGTGTTTGACCTGTGTTATTAAAATAATGAATTAGTACAAAAGAATTTGACTTTAACTTACGCTCATAATAAGTATTTGGCTCCGGTATAATTTCTGTGTTATTTGCAGGGTAGTTTGGAACAGCAGCAGGACTTGACTGGGGAATTATTTGTTGATTTTCCCAGGGCCGTTCTACTAATACAAAAAACAGCACAAGTTCTAATACTTTTCACTCAAAAAAACAAAACAAAAAAGTGAAGTTGCAGCACAGAGGAAGTATCTGTATTACCTGCCATGCTGCTGTTGATGTCCAGTGCATTAAATGTATTCAGGAGATTAATCTGCTGAAAAAACATAGATCACTTCATTAAGCTGTTTCTTGCACACACATTAAGACATCAAATAATGAGGAATCCCCCAGAACGCCCAGCAATTATAATGCATTCCAGCAAAAGTGAAAGTGTGAGAGCATACCTCGCTGGGGAAGTACTCTGTGGGGGAGCAGTAGATGTCAGGAGTCAATTCACAATCTTCCTGTGAGCTCTGCATTTGAAGACCTTAATGCACAAACAAGACTTTAGTATCATTCAGTGCAAAGTTCTGAAGACAGTTTTGGTCCTTGTGACTTACTTTCAGGGCTAATTATCTCGTAGATCTTGTGGGGGTCGTCTGGGTCCTTAGAATTATCTTTGATCAACTTGAACCGACTGTGGAGGTTGTTGAGAGCACAGCGAAAGTTGGTTTTCCATCGTGCCTTTTCATTTGGGAAATCGTTGATTTTACCACTGGCCACAGCCCACGCCTATCGGATAGAGAAACAGCATCCATTATATCGTCTATTATGACTCTCTGTGGGGTAGCTCATCAATAATGACATTATGCACGTGGGCTAGATACATTCTTCAACTTTATATACTGGATAAATGTGAGTGATTTCTGGAGGGCTTGACTGGACACACGGTCTAAATTAACTTGCTTTGAACTGCCAAACTCTGATGCCTATACAATCCCTCAGTTGTCCAGGTAGGTTCCATAACAAACAACTTTGTTTTTCTTTTAATCTTATGTCACCAGTTCCAGTAACTACCTTAAATATTTTCCCGTCCTCATCATTGCAGTCCTTCCTGGAGTTGTGTTTCCAAGGCACTCTGAACTTGTTGGGCCCTACATAGCAGAGTCCAGAATACTGGCCCGTCTTCACCTGCTCCAAGAGCCAGCTGGCGAACTGTGGCTTCGGAGGACTGAAAACGAAGTAGAGAACGAAGACATGGCAAACGTAAGATACAGGAATAGCTATTGAAAAAAACAACAACAATGCAATAACAGCCAAACAACCGTAGCTTTTCGTCCCAACTATAAACATAATAAATTGCAATCGAGAGCCTACATTGACCCATATCCTAAATAATTTCAGCTAATCGAATAACGTCCGTCCTACCTCTGCATCTCTTACTGCGTCCTCTGCACGCAACAAACTCCTTCAGTCTTCGAGTGTCTTTTTGTAAAGGGGTGCCTCTGACGCAACCCTCGTGACGCTGTTGAGCTCGTCTGGAAAGATGCGATTCGTTAAAAAGCGCCTCACTTCCTCATATGTGCGCACCCGCCTTCTGCTCTTCCCCTTCCAGCCGCTGCGCTCCGGAAAGGCGCTGTAGAGCAGGCTGCAGTTTCGGCTGACTTTAGCAAATAGAAAATTGAAACTGAAACTGAATAGTTAAATTATTGCATCACTAGGCCCTGGCTATTTCATCAGCACATGAAAAAGTTATAACCATGCCCAAATTCAATAGTAACAAGACTCGCCCATAGAGTTTCAATGGCTTTGTCTTTGTTTGTTTCTTTCTCATAATTGCCTGGTGAACAGGTTTATTTCAGAATGCATGTTATTCATAGATATGATATCAAGAGTCTCCATTACACAACTACTCAGCATATCTAATGTCACAGAGCCACCTTCACTCCTTTCACGCAAATTCACCAAAACTTTGTCAAATAGAATCCCACAGGTGTTATAGAGTGGATGAGTGAGACATAAAAATATCTTGTCTGAGAGTGCAATGGGGAAATCCTTGTATCAATGATTTTGTTTTATCACTCAGAGATTTATCTCTGTGTTTCCCCTTTTCATCTCAAACGTGATTGCACCAGGCAAGTTGGATGTTGGTAAGGTGATGTCGTAAAAAAACGGATACAGGACTACTATTTTGTTTGGCCTGTTATCATTAAATTACAATCAAAATAAATCATTATGTCAAATCAAAATGGGCTTGTGATTGACTCCACTGCTTTGTTAGCGGTTCTTTATTACACAGAATGGATTCTTGTGCGCTTTAAGACAAGTTATAATGTTGAGTCATCATCCAAAACATGTCTGGAGTTGTGTTTTGTTTCATTCACACATTTTTGAGTAATCCTAGTTTCTTCATCTGTCTTCATCTCCAAAACTACTCCAAAAAATGCTCTGTTACACTTTGTGATGTCATGTAGTGGTAGTTTTTAAGTTAACAGCTTATGTTTACCTTTAGTTCAGTAGATATTGGCAATTCCAGGGCTGAAATTATCCAAATTATTATAGTGAAAGTGTATGGAGTGTAAACCAGCACTTTCTGTATTACCACATTATAAGGTGGAACACAGTCTAAATATGCAGGGTTTACGTGTGAATAAGTGAATGAAACAAAACAACTGTAAGGTATGCTTGTAATGAGGAAACAACAATCCTGCGGCCTATTTATTTATTTTAGACTTAATGTCGCTGACCTTTAAAATTTTATGTCAGCAAACCACAGACTGCTGGGTCATCATTGAAGTATTTAAGCAATACTCAAGAAATAGCTTACATAAATTGTGCCGCTTGTACAGGGAAATGATACGAGCTCTGCTAACGCACTTCTCTTTTCATGACTAATGGAAGTAGCTCTGTCCTATAGAAAGACAGACTGTTCTGCGGTGGGCCATAGTTTCTTCCCCATTCACCTCCATTCATGCATTCAACATGAAAAGACACAGAAATCTTTATTTAGTGCATCAAAGTTTAGACACAAGGGTGGAATGATATTATGACTAACCGGAAGGCTGATAACGTGATTGCCTCTGCAGCCAGTGTGTCATAATGTCATTGGGCAAGACACTTTACTGTTCTTGTGTATGAACCAGTTAGTGTGAACTATGGCGCTTTGAATCTCTTGCATTCTGGTTGAGCTAATTACTATAGTTCATATCTTAATATTTATTTATAAAGAAATGTAAAGGTTTATGGCAACAATAGGCAGGTCATCTTTCCAACTATCTGGCCAACGTGTCTATGTGGGTAAAGGTGTTACTATAAACCATTTAATTGATCATAATAGACACACCTTAAGTGATGACTAACACACAGGGATTCTTATATAAAAGGCCTTGACTCTGTGGATAGTGAAACCAAACAACATCACTGGCAATGGTGTAAAAAAAAAAAAAAAAAAAGGCCTGATATTGTGCCAATAAAATTCCAGTGGGAATGTTTGTGCTTAAAAATCATTTTCGGTCGAGGGATGAAAAGATGTATTTATTTTTTGACAAGGGTGACTTTATCCCCGTACAAACCTTAGCATGTATTCATCTTCTGAACGCTTCTGCTCTAGAATAGGCCCCACTCTGACTCCATAAAACACAGAAAGACCATTTCGACTTGCTTATAATGGAACAGCGGGGTGCAGGTCCACCAACACTGGTCTGTCTTTTTGGAGATCCCTATGACACAGGCCAATATAAATCGAGACATAATTAATGCCATTTATCACAAATTTGAAATTGTCACTTGTTCATGGAGCGCCAACTGAAATGCACCCTCTGCTGGCCATTTATAAAGTCTGACAAGGCAACGACATACTTTTCAACATTGGATATTGATAATGAATTTCTATTGCTAAATAGATGTATTTGAATTGTGTGGACACAGCATGGAACACTGGTAAAAGCCTGATATGATTATTTTAGACGACTCGACTGGGCCAAAAGTACAGCTTGCTCCTGCTGAGTGAGCAATGTTTGAAGTGGTTCAAGAATGAACAGGTGATACGAGTTTTAACAATATTACATTATGGTATATTATAATTTGGGTGCTAATTATATTGTCAAATTTATTCCAACCAGCAAGTAAAAAACAATCAGAGCTTCGATCTTGTTTTGAGATGTAATGACAGCTTGTCACCAGCAGAGAGCACAAGTGTCTCATGTTTCTAGGGACTCGCTAGACTGAGCGATGAGACGAGTTATTTTGTGCTCTTGGCTTTTCCCCCGGTCACCAGTTCAGCACCACGTTTGTGTGGACAGTGACCACAACTCATTGGACATACTTACATGGCTTTATACACTGTATGGTGCAAACGGTCTTATTGTATCGTCCTGCACAGAGCGCTAACTTGTGAAATCACCAGGTGCTTTCATATCAGAAACAGCATATTTACTTTTGAATGAAAGGCGTCCCCACCTCGGCTTGCTCTGATAGGTCGTGATTGTGCAGCAGACACGCTTACAAAGTGTCTGCAGCGTGTAGCCGGGATACAGCGCACTGTGTCTTTGGTATTTGTGAGTGTAAAGAGTTGGAGGAGCGCGATTGCTGAGGGGGGACACTGACAATTTGAAGACATGCCAGGGGTACATTGTCAAATTCAAAAGGCATTTCAAAAACCAATCCATTCACTTTTCTATTCTGTCTTTTTTTCTCTCTTCTTTTTCTTTCTGTCTTTCCTTACGCGTCTTTCTCTTCGCTCGGTGGCAGTCCGTTTAAATCCACCAATGGCTCTGCAAGTTGGGGACATTGGAATGTAAATGAGCCCAGCGCGTGCTCCCGGCGCAGTGAAAGCTCGGGATTGTTTATTGAGCTACCGGAGCCACGCGCCTGGCCCGGGGGAGTCGGCGAGCGCAAGAATCACACAGCTGGGGCGGGGCTTCGACGCAGAGCGTGCGTCCCAAAAAGTGCAAAAGAAAAGGGGTGGGTGGGGTGTGTGCAGGGCGCGTGTTAAAAAAGAGGAGTGCTGCCAAAGTTTGGGTCAGATCGGCTCGTGGAGTAAGCAGTCAAGAGAGACTTGGACTAGAGTTAGCCACACGGTCCCCACGCGAAGGACACGAGAGCTGTACACTGCCAGTTCTGCCTCTTCCTCTGTCCATTCACTGCACGCATCACTTGCCCGCTGTCAGATATGGACACCAGCAGCAGCACACAGGGTGCCTTCACCTTTGGACTTACCCTGCACACGGGGACACAAGAACCCGCCACCGGTGCCAGCGCGGCCGGCTTCCAGAGCAAGACCAAGGTGCTGAAGAGACAGCGCTCCAGCTCACCCGAGCTCCTGCGCTGCAAGCGGCGCCTGAGCTTCAACGGCCTGGGATACTCCATCCCACAGCAGCAGCCCGTCGCGGTGGCCCGTCGCAACGAGCGCGAGAGGAACCGGGTCAAGCAGGTCAACATGGGCTTCCAGACGCTGCGCCAGCACGTCCCCAACGGCGCCGCCAACAAGAAGATGAGCAAAGTAGAGACGCTGCGGTCCGCAGTGGAGTACATCAGGGCGCTCCAACAGCTCCTGGACGAGCATGACGCAGTGTCCGCCGCCTTCCAATGCGGACTCCCCTCGCCCACTTTGTCCAACAGTTACTCCGCGGACCCCGAGTCACCGCATTCGACTTACTCTTCAGACGAAGGCAGCTATGAGCCGCTGAGCTCCGAGGAACAAGAACTCTTGGACTTTACCACCTGGTTTGACAGATACTGAGCGCTCGCCTGTTGGTCTTGTGAAGACTGTGGCACATAGGAGTCCCTCTGCGCAGGGACAGTCTGTAGAAATCCTCCTGGAGCAACAGACAAGCAGAGCTTGTTGTTGTGGAGGGAGTAAGCGGACAGGACGACGCGAGACAGTGTTTGACAAAAAGTGCAATTACCACACGGCAGCAGCGGGCTCTGCAGGGACGTTGCTGGAGTTGGACTTTACGCAGAGCAGGACTGTCTTCTTCAGCGTCAGTGAGACGGAGATAAAACAAAGATGATGGACTCTTAAGTGATGTACATCAAACTTGTATCATAAAGACTGTTTAACATGAGGACTTATTTTTGTACATGACACGATGTTGTCACTGTCGTTGGTGCGCGTGCTGAGAGCTGGCTGTCAGTGGCCAGTGAGTGACAGAGCAGCAATAATACAGCTACTACCTGTGACAGACTGTAGTTTATTAATAGGTGGTAAGGAGATACTCTTTAATGTATGCACTTGTTCTCCATCTGCTGTAGCCTACGTTGTAAACAGTCGATTTGAACAGATCTATTTTGTGTAAAACATTTTTTATAAATAAAATGACTCTATTTATATTATACACAGTCGTTCTGGGTTGCTTTTTCACATCAGGGTCAGTCTGAGAGGGGGGCTGTGTTAGTGACGGTAATTGAGCAAACTGTGCGTTTCTATTCAGAGCCCCTGGATGACCTTTTCCTGAGTTGCTTGGGCGCGCGGGGGAAATTACGCAGCTGGGTTGAGCACTCAATAACCATTGGAGACGCACAGCTTCTCCAGCGCTTTGTGCGCATTGGGGACGGGGAGATTAATATTACGTTTCATGCGTTGCA